AAAAATGATTATAGTAGAAGTGGGAGAAAAATACATGTAAGTATAATATCAATTTTAAAGGATAGATGAAAAGATACCATATTTTGCCATGTTTAATGCACACTTTTTTGCCCAAATTTTTGAGGGAAAAATAAGGATGCACATTATACCTGAGTATAGTGGTTATACACTATGGGTATAATAATGGGTGTAATAACCCTGTGTTTAATGCGCACAGAAACCTGGGTGCACGTTATACACGGGACCGCATTATACATGGCAAATTATGGTAGTTGCTTTACTGATATAATTTAAATTAGCAACTAGGGCTGGTAGTCTCAAAGTATCTTCTGTTAAATTATACTGTTAGATATTCATTCTGTGAAAGTAATTCTTATTCAACAATAAATACCATCAAAAGTTCAAACATACTAGTATGCCAGTTATTAACAATTTTTATCACATTTATTTCTTAAAAACATCAGTCACTTTAAGAACATTTTTTTCTTGGACAGAAGGGGAAAGAGATTGGCACACCAAATTTTTGAGCACATGTTAAGTCCAAAGAGAGCAATACCCATAGCAAGAGAAAATAGAAGACTGATTACTTTTTCTAGGATGAAATCCAACAGTCTTCAAATTTTTTGGTGCCAGATTATGTTTTGTGAGCTTAGTTTACAGAGAATATGTGCTGAGTCCTAATAACAAAAAAGCACTCCTTTGGGTCGGAGAGATTTACATAAAAATAGTTGGTTGGAACCATTCCATTGATTCATTATTATTCTTCAATTAGAGTAGCACAGAAGGAAGAAATTGAGGAGAACTTGCAAATAAGACTCCCTTGAGAAATAAATTTAAAATTAATATAATGAGTCAGAGCAGAGATAAAATAGCCTCAATGAGATATAACAAGAGCAAGACATGTCCCAAAGTATGATAGAGGACCCCCCAAAAACTGGAATTATCTTCTGGAGGGAAGCCTTATACCACAGGCTTCCCCAGCTACCTGAGTCTTCTAGGAACCCATCTGTATCAGTGCACCAGCTGGCATTGTTGTGAGAGGCTGTGTTCAGCTTCAGTGAATTTTTTTGAAGACTCTTTTAGTGTGTTTGCCCATTTCATGATAGGTGATTTATGAGCACACCTGCCCACACCACGTTGAGTGTTGGCAGAAATTTTTGACGAAAAATGGCATAACCCCTGTGCCCTACCCTCCCTATTCACCAGATCTAACCCCAAGCGAGGAATTTTTTTTTTTTGATATTTTTTCCTCGGATGAAAAAAGTTCTCAAAGGGAAACATTTTGCTGATGTGGAAGAGATGAAACAAAAAAGGCAGAAAAGCCTTTTTTCATCTAAAAGTCATCAAAATCAATGAGATCAAATGCTATTTTGAGCAGTGGAAAAAATATCTTGAGAGGTGTAGTGCATCAAACGGAGAGCACTTTAAAGGTGACTGAAGTTTAAACATGTAAAAGTAAATATGCGATCTTTATAAATAAATTCTGGGTTTTGGGGTCCTCCCTCATCTTGTTCTTTATATATAATAAATGACCAACAAATATAATGACTATGATGATCTTAAGGGTGATTGATATGTACAAAGTATTAGCCACTGAGTCAAAGTTGAGGACACTATCCAGATTTTGCCCATGTTCACCAGTAAAGCTTGTTTTGGTCACAAGTTGGTTGAGGAGTCAGGTAGAGAAAGAGAGAAAATTTACTGGTTTATATAATTAAAAAATTAAGAGGTATAGTTGACTTCCAACACTACTTAATCTAAGATTCCAGTACTATACTCAGAATTTATTTTTTTTCTTTCCTCTGTTTCAAGTTTGCTTTCCTCTCTATGTGCTCCATTCTTACATGTCCTGGGTGGCTCTCATGTATCACCGCCATAGTTAAGAGTCCAGGAAGTTAATTCCTGCTCCCCATCAGTTCTCACTAATTTGTATATCTCACGGATTGATTGCCCTAGCTTCCACTTCCTTTGGATGTTGGCCATGCCACAAAAGAATATCCATACATCTTGGGAGAAAAACCTGGAGCCTCTTGAGTATTTTAACTGCATCGTCTAAACCTGGGCTGTCTAGTACTGGCAGCAAGGAGATATCCATGACCCCCATCCCCAAATTTGTTTGGGAAACAGAGCTTATGAGACCTCCCTCTGAGACATCAAGAAAAATGCTGGCATGTTAAAAGCTGTGAGAAGTCCTGCAGTGAGGAAACAAATTTCTAGAATTTTTTGATTACACATTATGTTTTATAGAGCTTATCATGTTTACCAGCCCATTGAAATATGATTTAGGAAATTGTGAGACAGATGATCTCCAACAAAAAATGAATGATTCTCATCATCTCGATCTATTGCCATTAAATATTCAAATCATAATGTCCTTCTGTCTGTGCTTTAGAGTCACCCAAGCAAACAATTGATTGTAATTTAAATTTCTTCTTTTTAAAGATTTTATTTATTTATTTTTAGACAGAGGGGAAGGGAGGGAGAAAGGGAGAGAAACATGAACGTGTGGTTGTCTCTCATGTGCCCCCTACCAGGGACCTGGCCTGCAACCCAGGCACGTGCCCTACATTGGGACTCAAACTAGTGACCCTTTGATTCACAGGCCAGGCTTCTATCCACTGAGCCATGCCAGCTAGGACTGAATTTCTATAAAAGCCAAATTTAGGGAAGAGAATATCCTAGTTTTGACCACCAGAATATTCCAGCGTCCATAACAGTCGTATTGCCAATGACTAATTACTAAATTAGACCATGCTTTATATGTCAATGATGGAACAGAAAGTTACAAAGGTATTCAGAGGAAACCTAACAATTTTATGATATAATATTGAAATGTAAGTAAGTCTTTCACTATGAAGTTTCTTTTCATTGTTTAATTATGTTACACCAACATTAAAAGTATAAAATGAAGATGTTAACTTTGAGTTAAATTGGGAATTTTTTGGAGGAGGTAACAAGATATAAAAAATGAAGCAACATGACAGTTGACTAAGAAATACCCTCAAACTCAAACTGTATGTTACAGAATATGCTGTAATCTCTTCCATAAGTGTTTTCTTTCTTTTCTTTCTTTCTTTCTTTCTTTTTTTTTTTTTGGCTCACAGTACTTCCCCAATCATGTATCTTAAAATACAGATGCCCATTTAATCTTTTATATTACTATTCAGTTTTTATATTTTATCATTTAATTCTCATAAAAATTCTGTGAAAAATGTATGTGGAAAATATGTTTTCTTTATAGTTGAAAAATTGAGAGCCAGAAGGAAATGCTTGCCTGAGGACACACTGGAAAAACAGTAATCTGGGAATCTCACCCACATATTTGACTTTAAAATGTATCCTTTATCGTAATCTGCCTTGCTAAATTAGAAAATGTTCTTTCTTTCTTCTCATACACCATATATATTATGTATTACCTATGCTGCGTACTTTGTATTTAACTCAACATCATCATCCAACATTTCTGCAGTGTTTTTTAAATTAATGTTTATTTTTAAAAAGGTGTCTTGTGCTGAATTATTCTCCACAATTCTAAGCAACTTGATGGTATTATAGCAGTGCTAAAGCTATGCTTCATCGAATAATGATTAGAAATTCCAATAGCATCTTGTATTTAGCCACACTTTAATTTTCTTTAAAATCACTGTTGGAAAGACAAGATCTCAGATAAAATAATCTAACTCATGGGTCTCCTAGATTAAGGTAATTCTCAAAGACCCAGAAATTAGGTACAGCATGAATTCACAATTCCACTGAAAATAATGTAAATTTTGTGCATACCAAATTTTTTATATTATTATACCCTCTTGGTAATTCACCAAAAACCTCTGCAATTCCAGTTTATTAAATGTCTGCTTCTACTAACTCTGTGACCAGAGCTGCTGTATTGGAATTATCTCAGGTTTCTTTTATTTTCTTTTTAGGCTCTGTTATTAACTTCTATTATCTTGTTCTCTCTATTGACTTGCAGGTAGTTTTTTACTTTTTTATATATTATGGAATTTGGGAAAAATGTATTTTTCTTCTAGGTGTTTTGTCGGGTACAGTTATTTTGCTTGATTCTATAGCTTTAATTTACCAAGATCACTTTGACAGCTAATATTCTTTTCTACCGCTATTTCTATACTAAACTCTTGTAATAGAGCCTCTATGTCTCATAATCATTTTCACACTGCACCTTGAACTATAATTGTTATTTTGTTCTTTCTTACTGAACATAAACTCTTGAAGGCAGGGATTTAGTCATAATTTTCTTGATTTTTATTTTACCTATAGTAAAATCCAGCACATAAATATATGCAGAACCTATGATAATAAGCTTATGAATGTCCTCTAACTATTATTAAAATGACAGATTCAGTGTGAAGCCTGGTGTCAAATTTAGAATTTTTCAACTTGAAATTCCATTTGAAAATGCTACAACTATAGGAAATGAGTATGCATTAAAAATGAAAGGTAGTTTCATAAACTAGAAAATGAAAAAAATTGAAGTGATGGGTTTGTAATAAGGACTTTATTAATCTCACCACCTGTTTCTCAAGAGTTCAGCACTCACTCTCACTAATGACTGTTCTTCACCTGCAAACTCTGCTTAGGACTGAAATGTCTGTGGTTACGTAGCAGTGTTTCTAAAGCTTCTATATTACCCTCTTTTTTCTTTGAATTCAAATTGTTTCAGGTTGAAGCTAAATACTGACCTTGATGATATCATTTAACCTTTTTGAGTTTAATATTTTCATTTATGAAAGAAGAGTTTCAAACCAAGATCCTCAAAAATTAATTTATTATACAAAATATTCTTGCTATACCCTGCTTTCTCAACCATTATTATCCAGAAAGATCATCTCTGAAAATTTTTAACAAGTACATCAAAAAGAATTTTGCTTATGGAAATTCCACCCTATTAATAAATTAATAATTTTCACAATTATTTAGGAATTTATATAATTATATAAATATAGAAAATATTTCACAACACATTCTACATTACTATTACTTACCTTATAGTTTCTTCTTTATTTAAAATTTTATTTCTCTCACGATTCGACTGCAAACAGGGTGAGCTCAGAAGCTCATTTCATGTTTAATGATTGACTACCACACTATGAAAGTTTTGTTCACCCTTGATTTTACCTTATCAGTTGCTACACAAATAAAATTACATGTTCCCATGCTCTGTTTGAGCACCTTGAGTAATTGGCATGATGACAATTTAAATCATTTTCTTCAATCTCTTCCGTTAACACTTATTATGAACACATTTAATATACACAATTAAATGATTACTAGTAATAATGTAGCTGTTTAATCCTCTTTCACCATCTCCCAAACCTGGATGGGTGATCAAGTCTATACTTTAAGTACTTTAATAAACTTCTCTTAGAAGTATTATTCTTTGAGATTCTTACTCTCTTTTTCATGTAACATGTAATAGGTTCTTTGATGATTTAGTGGAGTTGGAATTGAGGGTTTATGTTGTAGCTTTGTAATGCACTTTGTAAGGAGATTACCAGATTCATTTGTCTCTTGAGGAATGGAGTTTAGTCTAATTTTGATCTTGAGAATCTTTTATCTTCTTAAAGATAAAAATTACTGAATAACTTTTTTTCATATAGTTTATATATATTAAAATTTATAGTAATAAAAATAAAAATTGAGAAACATTTCAAATATTGATTAATCTTTATCTGAATTTATTTTTAAGTATTCTTGAGATATAATTATCTATAACATTGTACAAGTTTAAGTATAAAAAACATTAATTTAATACCTTATGTATTGCAAAATGATTATCACCTGCATCATGTCACTTAACTACTATCACTTTTGTTGTAGTGACAACATTCGGATCTAATCTCTAAGCAACTGTCAAGTATTATAATACAGTATTTTTAATTATAATCACTATCTGTACATTATATTCCTAGAACATATTCATCATATATTATTCCCTATGATCAACATCTTGCAATTTTTCTCACATCCAGTCCCTGGTAACCACCACTTACTCTGTTTCTGTGAGTTTGGTTTCTTTAAATTCCACATAGAAGTGGCATTACACAGTATTTGTTTTTATCTGACTTGCTTCACTTAGTATAATGCCCTCAAGGTCTACTATGTTCACAGATGGCATAAAAATCCTTATTTTCATGGTTATATAATAATTCATTATTTACATATATCACATTTTCTTTATCTATTCAAGAATACTTTGTTTTTTTCTTTTGGCTATTGTGAATAATGCTGCAATAAATACAGGAATGCATATATCTTGTGATATAGTTCTCTTTGCTTATATACACAGAAGTGGGACTGCTGGGATCATATGCTGGTTCTGTTTTGAACTTTTTGAGAAACATTCATACCATTTTTCATAGTGGATACAGCAATTTATTTTTCTACCAGCAGTGTAAAAGCTTTCCCTTTTCTTTTCATCCTTGCTAACACTTGTTAGCTCTTGTCTTTAGGATTATAGCCATTCTAACAGGTGTGAGGTAACACTTCAGTGTAGTTTTGATTTGCATCCCCCTGAGGATTAATGATATTGAGCACCTTTTTATGTGCCTTTTGGTCATCTGTGCGTTCTTTGGAAAAAATATCCGTTCAGTTCCTCTTCCAACTTTTGGATTGGATTTTGTGGATATTGGGTTATGTGAGTTTTTTACATATTTTGGATATTAAGCCCATGTCAGATACATGACTTGAGAAAATGTTCTCCATTTGGAAGGTTGATTTTCCATTTTGTTGATGGTTTCCTTTGTTGTAGAGAAGCTTTTTAATTGATTAGGTCCAGTTGTTTATTTTTGCTTTTGTTGATTTTACTTTCAGTGCCAAATTCAAAAAAAATATTGCCAAGGCCAATGTCAAGCAGCTTACTCCCTAGTTTTCTTCAAGGAGTTTTATGGTTTCACGTCTTCGTTTAAGTCTTTAATCCATGTTTAGATGACTGTGTATGGTGCAAGATAGGGATCCTGTTTCATTCTTTGCAAGTGGCTATCCAGTTTTACCAGCATCCATTACTGAGGAGACTATCCTTTCCCCATTGTATATTCTTGACTCCTTTGTCATAAGTTAATTGACCATATATGCATGGAATTATTTCTTGGCTATCTATTCTGTTTCATTGATCTCTCTGTCTGTTATTTTAAGCCAATACCATGTTATTTTAATTAATATAGCTCTGTGGTATAGTTTGATTAGGAAGTTTGATGTTTCTAGCTATTTTCTTCTTTCTTAGGTTTGTTTTGGCTATTCAAGATCATTTGTGGTGCCATACAAATTTTAGGATTGTTTGTTCTATTTCTGTAAAAATTACTTGTCTTTTTTAGTCCCATTCATCAATGTTTCACAGTTTTCAGGTATAGATACGTCTCTTCCTTGGTAAAATTTATTCCTAAATATTTTATTCTTTTTAGTGTTAGTGAAAATGGAACATTTTTCTTAATTTCTTTATCTGGTAGTTTGTTGTTAGTTTATAGAAACAAAATGATTTGTTTACTGATTTTACATTCTGGAATTCTACAAAATTTGTTTATTAGTTCTAACTATTTGGTGGAGTTTTTATACATAATATCATGTCCCCTGCAAATAGAGAAAATTTTACTCCTTCTTTTCCAGTTTGGATGCTTTTTGTTTCTTTCCTTTAACTAATTGTTCTGGCTAGGACTTTTAGTACTATGTTAAATAAAAGTGTTGAGAGTGGGCTTCTGTGCCTTGCTCCTGAACTGAGAGAAAATACTTTCAGTGTTTTACCATTAAGTATGTTGATGGTATATTTCCTCTCTACCTACTTTGTTGAGAGTGTTTATAATGAAAGAATTTTGAATTTTGTGAAATGCTTTTTCTGCATTTATTAAGATGATCATATTATTTTTAACTTTCATTTTGTTAATGTGGTATATCACACTGAAGTATCCTTGTGTCACTGGAATAAATCCCACTTGATCATGGTGTATGCTTCTTTTAATGTATTATTGAATCCAGTTTTGGTGTTCTTTGTTTTGATGATCTTTGCATGTGACACATCAGGGAATATGCTTTGCAATTCACTTTTCTTGTAGAATCTTTGGTTTTAGTATCAGGGTTATCTTGGTATTGTAAAATGAGTTTGGAAATATTGTCTCTTTTGTTTTTGGAAAAGTTTGAGAAGGATTGGTATGAATTTTTCTTTAAATCTTTGGTGGGAATTCATTGGTGAAGCCATCTGATCTTGGACTTCAGTTTGTTGTAAGATTTTTTTTTTATTGCTGGTCCAATCTCCTTACTAGTAAGTGGTCTATTCAGATTTTTTTCATTTTCTCATGATCCAATCCTGGTACATTGGATGTTCCTGAGAATTTATCCATTTATGTTATCTAATTTGTTGGTATACAAGAGGTCTGTCTTGAAAGTATCCAGCCATTCACTATGAAAAATACAGACATTTATTGAAGAAGATGCAAGATACAAGAAACTTTGTACATAGGACAATGATGCTTCAGTTCCCTTCAAAGTAGACACCTTGGAACCTCTCACAGTTCTCCCAGTTGCCATCAGTTTTTCTATTATGTGTTCCTGACTCTTGTTGATGGTCTGAAATGTCTTCCCTTTCAAAGGTGATTTTAGTTTTGGGAAAAGCCAGAAGTTTCAGGGTGCCAAATCTGGGCTGTAGCGGGGTTGAGTCACCTGTTGATTTGATGTTTCACCAAAAAACTCTGCACACGATGTGATGCATGAGCAGGTGTGTTGTGCTGAAGCAGCCAATCCCATATCAGTGGGCTTCAGAATCATTTGAATAGTTTCCATGGAGAAATGTCAAACTTAACACAAAATTTGATGCAGATTCGTTGCTCTACTGGCTCAATCATTTTGAATGTGATGGCCTCTCTATATACATACTCATTCAACGGCATCTACAGCCCCTACTGACTAGTACAGTGAAGTCATCATTTTTCATGCACATGCATTCCAGTCCACTCTCCTTGGCTGCCTGCCAGGTTAATGGATGTGGCTCATACCATCCTTGTTATATTAACAATGATTGGACTTTTTCTGGATAGACCTCATATTATGACTCAAAATAATCTCAATGATCCTCTATATTGGTGTGGTATACCAGTTATAAATATATTAATTTATTTTAAAACAATAATAAATTTTATATGATACAATAAATAGCACATTTTCATAAAAATATACTTTAAAACATAAAAATGAGAAATTAGCAATTTTTTACATTTTTTGCAAAACTTGTTATTGTCTATTTAATAGAAGAGAGATGAATTCTGATACATGATTTTGTATTTATCTATTGTGATATATTGTTTTGAATCTCTACCATCACTCAAGTATGTAGTTTAAAAGGAAAAATATTTAGTCTTTTCAGATCATGTGCATATTGTTCTTTTTCTTTTTAAAATGATTTTATTTATTTATTTTTAGAGAGAGGAGGAAGGGAAAAAGAGAGGGAGAGAAACATCAATGTGTGGTTGTATTTTGTGTGTCCCTTGCTGAGGGTCTTGCCTGCAAACCAGACATGTGCCCTACACTGGGAATCTAACCGGTGACCCTTTGGTTCACAGTCCAGCACTCAATCTACTGAGCCACACCAGCCTGTGCACATATTGTTCTTTGATACTATACCAAAACTTATCAAGTGGTAGTTCTCTGAATATTAGATGCAATATGGAATCTAAAAACCTATTAAGAAACTTTTCATATATTCTTCTATTAAAATCTGTGCATTTACATTACAATGAATCTTTAATTATGCACGATTTTGTAACAGCATGAGTTGTTTATTTGTAAAATACTAATTTGCTGGCATGCATATTTCTGAATGTTAACACATTTTATTGCAAAGCATCCAAAACCAAATCATATTTGTAAGTATCACCACTGGCCAAAATCTTTCAGATCTTTTGGTATTGGGGTTATATTAAGCTCAGATTGCTGAGTACAAGTTTTCTAAAATTCAAATTTTTGCTACAGAGATTGAATTTTGTTATTGGCTACAAACAGTTGTTTTCTGAGTGGCAATTGTACTTTATTCATTTTTGAGAATACCAAATACCCCAAGTTTAAATAGCTGTAGTT